AAGTAGTGTTGCAGATTTCCATTATCTTATCGCTTCAGTGGATTGTGATACCGATTTGCATCCGTTTATTGTTAGTTGGTGGTTATTTCGTTTTGCTCGTTAAGACGATATTGAAGTTACAGGCTCCCAGAAATTTCACCAGCTTTTTTCTGCACATTAAGATGTATAGTTCTTTTTGTATGTTTACCCTAAATTCGCTCCCAACTGACGATGTGTTGTGACTTTGATGTCCGCTAGTGAATGTTTTGCTCAATTTGGATAAAAGTGCATATCTTCTTTTTCCGGCAGTATCACTATTAGACTTAACAAATTGTTGTAATTTGTGGACGTAAAAATTTGAAAAAGAAAAACCAGTGTGAGCGGTATTGCTTCTGCTATGAGAAATTAGTATGAGGAATTACAAAAAAAAGGAGGAACTACGTTAACAACACCAGGCTTGAAAAAGAATCGTTGAGAAAGGAATACAGCACCTTGAACTAAGTATTGGTATTCTCGAGTAAAACAACGAAAAATGCCTGGGATATATACAGGTATGTGCGTAGAAAAAGAGAAATTCGCGGAAACGGGAATGTGGTCTTACCTTAATGCATGATGATAAAGAAACTATTATAACTTTAGATATGCAGAAGGATGACTTCGAGTTAGCAATTCAGTGCCTAACCAAGGCGACATAAATAGGGAACTAACCCGGCAAAAGAAGTCACCTCGAATGGTAAATTTACCACACTTACTCTTTCCGCTCATTCCCGTTAATGTTTTTACTGCTGCCAACATTCAATGACGACCCCAAATTGTAAAGGGAATTTTCGAGCTGTTTCGATGATGCAGTGCGCTGTCAAAAAATACCAGATATTCAAAAACTGAATTTTTTATCTCAGAGAAAGAATGTCTTACGGAGCCGTTCACTGCGAAGAAAATCGCTTCACAACGGGTTGCATTCCATAAGGAAAATGACCGAGAATGGAAGGTAACCGTCAAGGTGAGTAAAAGGATGCTTTGACAGTTAGGAGCTACAGGGGAAAACCTCAAACAGCCCGTCGTCGAAGTTTTTATTCAAAGTAGATTGCCAGTCTTGATATTAGAAATAGTATATCAGCAGAGAGAGGAATTCTTTGGGGGAAAAAAATAACAAAAGAAAAATGATTGCCCGGAAAACTAATCCGTGTCTCCTTCTTGTCAGTCTTGATGAGATAGTTCTGCATAAAAATCATCATTAGAGAGAAATTCCCTCACGTTCGTTGAAGCTTCATTAAAAATAGGTTTTTTCTCGTCGCATTTTCGTAAAGCATCCCATGCGTGTCCCGTGGCTGTCATTAAAGCGTTGTCCACATATAGGTTCCTTCTTTTTCTAGAGCTGTTTTACTACCATAATTTTCCAAATGATGCCTGGGGCCAACAAGGAGGATGACATCACTGCAAAGGTGACCTTTTCGAAACGATAACATTTTGTATTTCTTTCAGTTACGTTTCTTTTGGCATTCCTTAGCCAAAAATCTAGTGCAATTTCTCTTTGGAGGATGTAATTTTGTTTGTAGAAATTTTTTTTTTCTGCAATCGGCTTTGTTTTGTTCTGACTTGAAGAAGCAAGTTAAGCAGACACTGGTTTTCTTTTATCGATCAATTCGTTGCTTGAACGTGAGGTAAGTATGGCATCCATTATCCCGGCAACCTTGTTGTAGAATATGCAAAGATCTACCAATTTTCTCTGCGGAACTTTAAACGGCTTCAAGTCCAGTTGTTTAGATTGGTCCCTTGGAGATGAAGCCAAAGTGTTAAACTGCCTTTGCTTTGCTTGTTTGATTGCAGCCAACGCAACAGTCCTTCTCTAAGTAATTGGATTAGGGCTGTCCTCGATTGAATTTCTTCGGTTTCTGATGCCTGATAGCTGACTTATTCATAGCTTGGTAATTCCCACTAAACTTCAAAGAAACTGCATAAGTTCTGTTATTAATCACCATTCTTCCTTTTGTTGATACACTTTATCCAAAAGCCAACGCAGTAATTTAGATTCTATTGCGGCCTCAACGTTGGCACACTGCAGGTAAGTTCCTACCTATTTCCCCGAGTTATCTGAGTACTCTTTCGATTTCTTCGACCGTTGATTTCAAATTCCAGTCCCTTCATTTTGCAGAAGCTAGCTCACAACAGAGCAATTTCTTTACAATGAAGGATTGACCAAATTTTTTTAGCAGCATTTCCGTTATAATTTTATCGTTGCCCCTCACGGTTTGTAAGGGCGCTTCCCTTTAAATAAGACGTTGAGTAATTCAATCTCTGAATAATGTCTGGGACTTCGTGTTAAAGCATCAAAGTCGCTTCAGAACTTCCTCCAGGCTGTGGTGTCACCACTAAACGTTGGCAGGGACAGTTGGAGTAAGTATATCGTCCGGAGACAGGTCACCTGACTTACTTCCCTGTACTGGATTTCCTGGACCACTACTTTGTTTTATACTCCAGCCATTTCTCATCGACTGTTACGCGAAGCCAACACTGATTTCGAAGTGCACCATCTTTTCCTTGATAACCATTTCCCTGACTTCGACAGCTAGCGCAGTCCATCCTTTGTCAGCTGTTGACCTGGTGGCGTTAGATCCATTTCCTCGAATTCATCGAGAGATCTTTCCAATTTTTGTTTCGCCGGTCGCGCACTAACGACTATGCTGGCGAACATGGCTCCCGACTCATAGCACTACCAATTAATGCCATAGTACTTCTTGTACGGTGAATATTCCACCAGGTGAAAGATTTGTTGTAACGAAAGGACACTAACAATTCAACTACAAATTTTCAGACAATGGAACTATATGTCAATAATGACGAACAGAAGGCTGTCGGGAACGGGAGAGGATATGGCTGCACAGTCGAAACAGAATAATGGATTCCCGGGTTTAAAGCTTATACAAGAGGAGTTTGTTTGGCACAATCCGTAAGGTTAAACCAATTGGTCCCAAGACGACCTTTACAACATTCAAACAGGCGAGAGATAACAGAGAGAGACTAACAGAGAGAGCGACATGTTCGACCAGGGACATGATGTTACAGTACTATATATGGCACACTTCGGCTTTGCAGGACTAAGACAAGGGCGCGAACCACAGTGTGTTTGATCTCAACGAATTTCAAAAGAGGCTTCACATGTAAAACATTATAGCTTCTCGGTTTTCCGACAATTGTCTGAGATGTTCCGGAAACTATACCAACTTCTAACTTGCAAATTTTGACGTCAGTGATGCACAAAGTGGCATCTTGATATTGGCTCGCTGTCAAAGATAACGAGACCACTCACCACGGTTCCTTCTCATCCTTATCAGATTTATGCAGCTCTTATTCACTATTGTTCCTTTAGTTATCTTATTATTATTGTCCTTTTAGTTATCTTATTTTTACTATCACAGTTACAATCAACAACAGTTGTCAGCGTACAGATGTATCTGAATAATTGTTAGCAAGCACATGATGTAAGATAAAATCACTGACTTAAGAGTGGACTAACCGCTTTATAACTGATAAATCT